AGGGAGTGTGGGTAAAAACATATTCTAGCTGTCCCCTATTTCTGCCTGGCACTGGCTTGCTTAAAAGGGGAACCATAATCTGTGCCTCAGTATTCCCTTCCCTGAAATGGGTTTCAGGCTTTTCTTTCTTTCTTTCTTTTTTCTCAGTCAGGTCTTTGGTCCTAACAATTTCAGCCCAGCAGTACCAATAGGGTATTTGGCTGGGCTTAATGCATGTTCTAAGTGCTTTAAGGGTTTTATAATCTAAAGTACTGCTATCAGGCCAAATTTGTCTACCCATGTCATCTCGCAATAAAGCCCACTTTTTGCAAATTCTTTTCACTTCCTTTCTATTCATTCCAGTTAGGACAGGCACTTGCCTTTCATCCCAAGCCTCAAGTAATTTATCCAAGGGGGTCTCTTCCATTGCCCTCGAGCTACAACTTCCCATATTCCCTACCTGATGTGGGGATTACTTTGGTTTAGCCGGGCTCCCGCTGTCAGTTTTCAGACAAAAAAGGTCTGGAAAAGACTCCGGTTTCCCTACACACGGAGTACGGGCCCCTTTCTCGTAGGGAAACTCCGCCGTCAGTTTTAAGACCCCCCCTAAAAAACGGGGATCTTGGAGGACCGTCTGCCCCCTAGCAGCACGGTACGGGCCCCTTCCTACACTCCGCCGTCAGTTTTCAGATCTCCCTTAAAGGTGGGGATCTGGAAGGACCTGCTCTGCTTTGTAAGGCAAACTATTTCCAATTTTGTTTGCCAGCAGCCGGTACGGGCCCCTTCTAAATGCACAGGGATTTACTTGCGGGATGCACTGGGAATATTTATTCTGCTTTCTATTTATTTCCCAACAACAGTTCCTTTCTCAGCCCACTCGGTTTTTCTTACGTCCTTCAGAAGGACTCACACTCTGTGATTACCCCTTGTGTTCCCAAATCCAGCCGGTCACGGCTTGTTGGAGCTAGCAGCTGGCTGGGGTGTGGCTGGCAATCACAGAGGAGGTGAGGTCCCACTGTTTCCGCAGAGAAAACCCACAATCACACACCTGGTACACTCACGCTTCCACTCCCCTCCCTAGTAAGATTATAAATTTGAAGCACTACTCACCTGATTTCAAGCAGCTGTTGAGCAGAAAAGCCCAAGGACTCCCTTTACTACCCTTATGCCTTCCGGGCTGGGTCCGTGGATGTTTTCCCTGGACAAAGAAGGTCCATGCCGGCTGGGTTTGGATCTGCGGGCCCGGTCCGGTGGCAGGGTTGGCTGGAAAACCTTCATGGTCGCCAATTGTTGAAAGGCTGGAAAATGCCTTTCTTTTGAGGATTCGGTTTTCCTGCTGGGAGGGCTCCAGTGCAAGGACACAGACAACTGCTTGGAAGCTGGTTTATTTTTCAGGAAGGCAAGAGATAGCAAGAAGTCTGCGTTCCTGGGGCTAGCCATCTTTGTATATTAAACTCCTGATTTTTATACCTTTTCTCCTTTTGTGTGTGAGTGCTTGTGTTTGTATTTCTTAATGTTTTAAATCCTGTCAGGGGGTTGTCTTCATTTCCGCCAGAGGGTAAACTCTGTGGGGTGGTTTGATTGGATTATCAGTTTCATCCTAATGTTTTCTTATATTTGTTTGGTGGCAATCTCCTGTCTGCTATGGAATTTATTTCGTGTCTTTTGTCTATTTGTTTTGCTGATTTGGCATGACCTGTTGTTTGTAAGGGATTTCTTTTTCTTGTTTCCCTAGCTTTCTTAATTACTTGGCTTTTGTCTAGGGGGCTTCTTTCAATACCTTTTATTAAATCTCTTTTCCTATGCAAGTTTGTTTTATAGCTGGCCTGATGTTCCCTTTGGGCTTTTCCTGCTTGGGTGTCACCACTGTCCTCATGAAGTTCCCTTTCCACAGTTCTCTGCCTAGCTGGTGGGTGGGTGTGGCCTAGTTGGCCTCCTGCACCATGGTGGTGGTGGTGGTGTTTTTGCCCTTCTTGGGCTCCAGAGGTTTTTCTCAAGCCTCCGGGAGGGAGAAAACAGCCTCCCTGGGTTGTGGAGACTCTCTGGAAGCCAGAAACTCTGTTTTTCATCTTCCCAGAGCCTCTGCGCACACCCTACACTTACCTGCATCCAAAATGGGCCATGAGGGGACTCATGGAAGGGGAGGGGTGGGCGGAGCCAGCCAGGAGTGGGATTTGGGGGATTCTTCGAACTGCACATAACCTTAGCTAGGGGCTCTCTCAAACCCCTGTGAACACCCAGCAGCCCACCCCTGCCTTCCACTATATCTGACATTGGGGCATGCTCCAGATCTTCTCTGTTAAGCAATGACATGTGGTGAGACAGGCAACATGCTTTTTCTGTTTTAGCACCAGCCTTATGAAACAGATACCCTCAAGATCTGGAACGCCTCAACACTCTGCCTTTACAGAAGGGCATGAAGAATTGGATTTCCTCCAACTACTGATCAGTGTGATTTTTATTGTGGGACAGTGATGGCATCTTAGTTATTGTGATGATTATTTGAACTTTGCTTTGCATTTTGTTGATAGAGGCTTCATTACACTGATGATTGCTGCTAGTTGTCCAGAGTCATGTATATAAGATGGGCAGCCATATAAATTCTCTAAATCAACCAACCAGCCATTCAACCAATCAAACACACACACTCACTCACACAAACTCACAGAGAACAACTTTAAACTCCTGATCTTTAACCTATTGTGATGGTAAAAGATACCTACTACTATATACATGTTAACTGCATTCACTGACAATTTATAAGATGTCCCTTGTATATATGAATTGCTGTGATCCAGGAAACTAAACTGTTTCTACTCACTTCCAGAAGTGGAATGCTGCCTGTACATCTGGATCCAGAACTCTCATAGATTCTTAGCTCTATTATTCTTCACCAACTTCTGTGGAAACTCCTTGATGGCTGGCTGGAGAATTCTGGGAGTTAAAGTCCACACATCTTTCAGCGGAGTGTGGTAAATTCTTGCTTCTATGGATCTGGTGCTTAGTGCCTGTTCTTAAGTTGCTGTGATCAGTGATCAGTGCTATCTACACACACACACACACACACACACACACACACACACACACACACACCACAGATGAACAATGACAGGAGCAAACTACAAAGTATGCCTCCAAGATTGCCAATTCATCCTAAATAAATACAACCTTTATTTGCTTCTCTGGCTGGAAGGAATCTTTTGAAACACATCTGGGATGCTTTCCATCTCCAGACTCCATGGCAGCAGGCAGCAAATCCCTGCACCTGATTTCAGCAAAACACAGGTTTCCAAGCCCATTGCAGAAAAATGGAGGTTGAGGGGGCTGGGGCTGGGGGGGGGGGCAGGAGGGAAGAAGAGGAAATGACTCCTGTCATTGTCCTCATCCCTATTTCGTAAATCAATCTGGCTATCAAACTTACAAACTGCTGTGAGAAGAAATATCTCCAGTCTCTCTCCACCCCTAAAGTCCTTCCCTGTGCCCTTAGCTCCAAGATGAACTTCAGACGCAAAGCTTGGTCAGTGCTCCAAATGAAAGAGAGAAAGAGAGAGCAGCCCATTTCTTCCCAGGCTTCCACTCATAATTTCTCCTCCTTCCCACACACTCTGGGGCCAAAACCTCCAAAACTGACCTCCTGAACTGCCAGACTGTTGTAACAGTTGATTTCAATGCTGTCCAACAGCTGCCTCTGCTCATCTGAGAGTTTGCCCAGGCTGGTAGCCCCTACAGAGGAGGCAGTCGAAGTGGTACTCTCAGAGTCTTCCTGGGATAGCAACAGCCCCTACAGCTCCAGCAGCACCCTGTGATACTTGTTGATGGCTTCCCAGCACTTCTTCTCCTTATAGCACTGAGCACCATGAATTCCAATGCTCTCGGATTAACTGCTCAGGCTTGGCATCCAGAGAAGCAGCAGTGGGGCCAGGTGAGCAGGTGGCTTGCCTGGCCTTCCAGCCACCCATTTGCCAGGCTTGACTGCCGCTTCTCCAGCTGCCAAGCCTGAGCAGGAGAAGAAATGCCACCAGAAGCCCAAGTGAGCTGCCGGCTTACCTGGATTCCCAGCCACTAGCTCACCTGACATGACCACTGCTTCTCTAGCTGCCAACCCCAAGCAGCTGATCAAAGAGTGCTGGATTTCAAAAGCCAAGGAGCTCAATGCTACAAGGAGAAGAAGTGAAGCCATTGGCAAGAGGCCTGGAAGGGGTGAGGTACGCCGGTTCACTGAACTGCACAAAAAGTTAGCTACCAGTTCAGGTGAACTGGTGTGAACCGACTGAATCACACCACTGGATAGTATGATCTAGCACAGGGGTGTCAAACTCAATTTCATTTTTTTAGTAAAAGTTTTATTGTTTTTTAAAACAAACATAGACAAACACAACATAAAAACACCAAGCCATCTTCCATATATATACGTACAGTGTGTCAGTAGGTTTATGGATTGTTTTGTGCTTCTACTTCACAGTCTTCACTTACAATTACATTGTATATGTTCTTGTATTGTCAATCAAATATTCCTAAATACATTAATATCATCATTAATCAATCATTTGACTATACTATTATTCATTCATGTTTTGCAAGGTAATCCATATTTTACTTAGTTTGTTTTATAGCAGTTCATATTATCATCTTAAATCTATCCTATAATCATTTTGTAGTTATAATAAAAATAATATATCTTTATATATTCATTATATTCTAAAAAAATCTACGTATTTCATTACCATGTTTTATTGTCTAACCATTGATAGAATAGATCCCAAATCTTATAAAAGTGTTTATCTTCTTGTTCTCTGATTTCAAACGTCAATCTACTCATTTCAGCACATTCCAATATTTTCTTAATAACTTCCTCTTGGTAATTTCTCATTCTTCCAGTTTTTAGCAAATACGATCCTAGCCGCTGTTAATACATTTACAATCAAATATTTCAATTCCTTAATGTATATTTCAGGTAAAATTCCCAATAAAAATATCTCTGGTTTCTATATGCTATATGCTTTTTTGTCATTTTTTCCAACCATGTGTGGATTTTAGTTCAATATTTTTTAGCATCTGCGCATGTCCACCACATATGGTAATATGAACCAGATATATGATGACATTTCCAACATTTTTCAGATTTGTTCTTGAACATTCTTGCTATTCTTGTTGGGGGGAAATGCCATCTGTAAAACATCTTATACAAATTTTCTTTATATGCTGTTAACATTGTCATTTTATAATTTTGAGACCACAATTTTTGCCAGTTCTTTAGATCAATCCCATATCCAAAATTCTTCCCCCAAGCAATCATTGTTTCTTTAACTTGTTCTTCTTCTAGTTTAATTAATAAATATCCATACAATTTTTAAATCACCTTTTCATCAGTACCTGTCAAAATCTTATCTAAATCAGTCAATTTATCATAGAAACCTTCTGTTTTAGAATCTTTACAATACCTAGAATGTATTTGCGCATATGAAAACCAATTCATCTTTATACCTTGTTCCTCTAGTTTTTGCATAGATTTAAGTTCACCCTTTTCATTCAATATTTCCCCATATCTAACTGTTCGTTCCTTTTGGTATATTATAGGATAAGAGAATGCTTCAATAGTCGATAGCCAGACTGAAATTTTCAAGTAACATTGCCTTTTAGTTTTCTCCCAGTTTAACCACAGGGACTCCCGTATATAATGTCTTCAAAAATACCCCTGTGTTTTAGTTCCTTTATACCATAAAAAAGCATGCCACCCCAACAACAGATCATGTCCTTCTAATGTCAACAATCTAGCATTTCTTAGCGTTATCCATTCCTTAACTCACATCAAATTTGTAGCTTGGTAATAGAACTCCCAATTAGGCAAACCAAATCCTCCTCTTATTCTAGCATCTTGCAAAAGTTTTAGTTTTATTCTCACTTTCTTACCTTGCCATATATATTTCAACACAATTTTATTAAAATCTTCAAAATAGTCTTTTCCAAGCCTGATTGGAATTGTTTGGAACAAATATAAAATTCTGGGTAATATATTCATCTTGACTGTTGATATTCTCCCTATTAATGACAGTTGTAAATTTTCCCATTTTGCCAAATCTAGAGCTATCTGCTGCTTGAGTTTAATATAGTTATTCTCTTTAAGTGAACTACATCTTGCTGTCAAATGTATCCCTAAGTACTTAATTTTATTTGTGACCTGGATTTTCAAAACATCCACCAATTCTTCCTTTTGTCTTGATAACATATTCTTTGCCAAAATCTTTGTTTTGTCTTTATTTATTTTCAAATTGGCCACCTTCCCATATACCTCTATCTTTTCTATCAGTTTTAGTGCTGTTTCTAGTGGATCTTCTAAGACGAAAACCAGATCATCTGCAAATGCTTGCAATTTAAATTCTTCCTTTTTAATTTTCATCCCTTTTATATCCTTTTCTTCTCTAATATTTCTATTCAGCACTTCCAACACAAACAACAAAGGTGACAGTGGGCACCTTGTCTTGTTCCTTTTCTTATATCAATAGAGTCCGTCAAATCTCCCTCTATCATTACCTTTGCCATTTGCTTATGATATATAGCTTCTATTGCTTGGATAATTTTTTTGCCGAAGCCCATCTGTTCCAGCTATAATAACATAAATCACCAATTCACATTATCAAATGCCTTCTGCACATCTAAAAATATCAAAGCCATTTGTTTTTCAGGGTGTGCCTCGTAGTATTCCAAAGTGTCCAAGATTACTCTTATATTGTCTTTAATTTGTCGCTTTGGCAGAAATCCATTTTAATCAGAGTGGATAAAGTTATTTAGGTATTTTTGGGGTGTTTCTGCTAGTATTGAAGCAAAAATTTTATAATCTGCATTTAGTAAGAAATAGGTCTATAGTTCTTAATTTGTAATGGGTCAGCGTCCCCTTTTGGGACTAGTATAATATAGGCTTCTGACCATAATTTAGGTATTCTCTTCTTTCATAACTTCATTCCTAACTTCTAACAATGGAAGATTCAATGATTCTTGTAGTGTTTTGTAAAATTCCACTGGAAGTCCATCTGGGCCTGGTGCCTTTCCATTATTTTGCTTCTTAAGTGCTTCAGTTAACTCCATCATTGTTATATTGCTTTCTAACATTATTTCAGTCTCTTTAGGTATCTGGGGTAGATTAGCATTCTGTAAATAATGTTTGACTTTTTCATCATCAATACTCTCTTGAGTGTATAGTTTCCCATAACAATCTCATACGATTTTCTTTTTCTCTTTACTTCCATAGCAAGCCTTGATCATCCATTAATTGCAGTATTTTCCTTGATTCTCTCTCCTTTCTCAGTTTATATGCTAACCATCTACCTGGTTTATTTGCATCTTCAAAATAGTTCTGTTTCACACATCTGATTTTCTGTGCTAATTCTTCTTTTTCCATTAATCCCATTTTATGTTTAATTATATCCATTTTTAACTTAATGTCCTTTTTTGTGGCATTTTCTGTAACTCTTTTTCAAGTCCTTTATATTAATCCTCTAATGTCTTAGAGGCAAGTCTTTTCGTGATATTTCTTTTCCTTGTATAGTCTATTATCAAGCCTCTGGCATATGCCTTCATTGTATCCCAAACATTCTGCGTTGATGTGTCTTCTTTTTTATTTTGTTTAAAGAAGAAAGCCAGTTCTTTCTCCACTCTCTGTATGAAGTCTTTTTCTTTTAGTATAGTGTTATTTAACATCCATCTAGATCTTCTTCTTTGTCCCTTCCATTTAATTGTCATTGGATTATGATCTGCCCAAGTACTTGTTTCAATATTTATTTCTTGGATATTAGCAAACAATTCTGTTGACATCCATATCATATCTATTTTGGACCATGATAAATGTCTGTTTGAATAGAAGGTATATTGTTTAGTCTTAGCATTTCTTTCTCTCCATGCATCTTTTAAATTTATTTCGTCTGTCATTTTAAAAAAGGATTTAGGGAGAGTCTTTCTGCTTTGCTTTGTTGTTTTCTGTGTTGTATAGTCCACTTTATTGTTTACAATTCCATTAAAGTCTCCCATTATAGCAACATTAGCATAGTCCAGTTCAATTATTTTCATATGTAATTTTCTATAAAATTCTTCTTGTTTGTCATTTGGGACATAGATTGCAATCAGGAGTGTTTTCATATTATTGTCCATTATTTCTACTATTAGTAGTCTACCATCATCAATTGTTCATGCTGCTTTTTAATATGTACTTCTTGTAGGCAGATTATATCAAATTTTAATTTCTCTAATTTATGGAAAATTTTCCTTCTTTTAACAGCTGAGTTAAGTCCATTTATGTTAATTGTATTCAGTTTTTTCTCTTCCATGATTATACTTTATAGGTAGGTTTGGCAGCTCTCGTGGATCTTGGTTCATGTTCTTTAGCTTCCACCTTTCCTCCTCCTGCACCTTCTTCTTTTTCAGTCACTATTTGGCAGTCCTCTTGGAATTCAATTAGTGACATTTCTTTTTCTGTCTCCTCCTCTTTCCCTCCAAAGTATTCTGTATAAAATAATTCAGCTTTCTCAACTGAATCAATTCTGTGTCTCTGTTCTTGCCATGTGAGCATTAAACCTTCTGGAATCAACCATCTATAATTCACCTCTTTTTAAGTAGAATTTTAGTCAGGAATCAGTATTCTCTTCTCATCTCTCTCACTCTTCTGTGTACTTATTTCAGGACCACAATCTCCTTGTTTTTATATTTCAATGTTTTCTCTCTTGCTACCTGCAATATTTGTGTTTTAATGGCTTTCTTTGTAAATCTGATGTGAAATTCTCTTGGTAGACTGTTTCTCATTGCATATCTTGTGAAGACTCAAAAGACCTCATCTATTCCATCTATCATCTTCTCTTTGGTTATTTCCAGAGCTTCAGCCAATATTTCTATCATTATCTCAGCTAAGTTTTGTCCCTTTTCTTCCTCTATGTTTTGGAATCTGAGATAAAATTCTGATCTGTCCATCTCCCATCTCAGCATCCCACTTTTATCTTGTTCAACCACAGTTAATCTGCCATCAGGATCTCCAATCTTCTTATCTCTTTGTTTATCTTCTTCTTCAATTTTTGGGAATCTCTCATTGTATTTCATCATCATTTATTGAATATTCACCACCTTTTCAGCAGTTTTTTTTCTATTCTCTTTTCAATATTCTCTGTTCTTGCTTGTATGTTTTGAATTCCTTGCATTATCATCTGCAGTGTCTTAATCCAATTAAAAAATCTCAGGTATGAAAAGGTGTACAATAAAAAAGCCACAAAAAAAAAACAACGTGAAAAATATATTTAAAAAAATGCAAGAGAGGGAAAGAGAAAAAAGAAAAAAAGACTACTCCCTTAAAAAAAAGGAGAGATTATTGATACTAATACTTGTCCTTTAAAATGAAATACAAAAGTAGAAGTTAAACTCGAAAAGGAAAAAAAAAGAAGACAAAAGCAAGTTCCAAAAGATCAAAGATCCGACTGATAAGGAGGGGTTTTGTTAAAGTAAGAAATAGCTCAGCTTAAAAAAAAAGTAAAAAGAGCACACTGCACCTTATTTAGTTATCCAAGGCTTTTATTAAGTTTTATAACTCTCTTCTCTAAAGTCTTACCGTCTTTTTTCTGTAAACTTCAACACCAGACTCCAGTACTGATAGAAACCCAGAAGAGCACCTGCAATAATACCCTCCCATGCTCTTCCCTCGATCTTATCAAACAGGCTCAAAGTCCTTGAAAAGAAGTCTCAATTCTTTCCCAGCTTTGTCTGGTGGAGAGGAAAAAAAAAAGAGATATAATATTTCCAAGCCTCTAGTTGGCAGTGTTACAAAATTTCCTCTGCTTTTACTTTCCCCCTCTTTTTCCAAACAAGATATAATAAAAAATAATTAAAAAGGAAAAAATATTTTTTTTAAAAAAAGATTAAAAGGGAGTCTCTAGCATAAAATATTATAAAGTCAAAAAGGAGAAAAGACAAAAAAGAAAAAAATAAGGTAGAAAAAAAACCAGTCCGGTTTCAAAATAACAATATATAAAAAGTCCAGCAAAGAAAAAAATATTAATTTGAC